CGATTCGCGTATAGTGAGAGCCAGAGCGGCTTATGCCAATCTGAACGGTCTTTGGAGTCTTCACAAAGTTGGTCTGGCTGTAAAAGGTCGGATTTACAGTGCGTCAGGGAGAGCAATTTTCCTCTGCTCTTGTGAAACCTAGTTTTACGAACTGATGACACCAGATAACTCAGTGTTTGGTCGTCCTTGTCCACGACGGACTCCTGGATTCCAGTGACAACACGTTAGTAATACAGAGTTTCGCAATGTGTATCCGGGGACGACGACGATAATTCAATTAGTTTTGCTACTTTGAAATACCGATTTCGATGGTTTGAATATGTCTTGCGAAGCTCGTTTTAGCAGATTCTACGTCGTGCATTATTTGCCGATGCTGAGACTGGTTCGGAAAAGAGAGGTGATCAGTACTTGACATAGTTCCGTGGTTTGAAAGACAGCTGTTTAAGATTGGCTTCTGTTGATCATTCACGACTTCCTAGTTACGGTCCTAGAAGATGGTACAACACACTGGCTAAGAATGGAAGCTAGTGGTGATCCTGCTATAAATTTCTTCATAAAAGTTAGAGTAACTTCTTTAACTGAGAGAATTCGTTCTGGTTGTATTTTTTCCAACTGAACTGCTTCTTCCATTAATTATTATTATTATTCCACTGTCACACACTTTTCTGTTCATTGTTCCTTTTTATTATATTCCCTTTCATTTCTCTATCTTTTCACAACCTCAATTTTATTTTGTAGCGCATATATATTTGGCCCCCCTTCGTACCAATCTTTATATCTTCACATAAATAAAAGGTGAATTGACATTGACCTTCTAATATAGCAAAGCTGAAGGCATTATCGTTAACTTGAAACAAATGGGAACAGATGGTTAATATTGGTCCACTTATCAAACTTACGGAGATAGTAGTTTGTTTTTGGGAGATGGATCTTGTTTTAATGGCCAATTTTCTTAAAGAATTCGCTATGTTGAAAATAACAGAAGTTTGCTCGTCTTATTCTTGGTAGGATTATTGTTTTAATCCCAAATAGAGAAGGATATGGAAAAAAACACAGAATATGAAATCATTCAACTCAGAGTGTGAAATTGGTTATTTAATTGCATCATTATCCTTGTTTTTTAATATAGAGTTCGGTTTAATGGTTAGAGTAAAATTATTTTTTACATCTATGGAGATTTAATTGTCTCAGTTGTGTGAGTAGCATACTCTGGAAACTTAAAAGTCTTCCTCATTAATCACAGGTGACGTCAAATGAGAAACACTGCTTTCTGTTAAAGTCAGTGAACTGATAGCCAATTTGTATGTAATCGTTCGTGTAGGAGAAAAAAGTTACAGTTCCGTAGTTCTCTGATATTGTCATACGTGATAAAAGACTCTGATCACTTGATGTAAGCATGGGCGAAAATCGTGAAGCTTTGTGTCTCGACTGATTATACGATGTTTTAAGCTGTTGAAAGTAACGGTAAAGTTTTGTAATTGATGGGGGCAAGAACAAAATTGGGATTATCGATGGACTACACACAGATTCTGGAACGAAAGAGGACTAGTCACATCGAAATACAGAAAGAATATTATATATAATGGGTTCCATATATCATTCTATCGCCAAACGGATAACTGGGCCCTTCTGACTATTAAGAAATCAACTTCTTAAGTACTCCTTGCAAAATTCCTGTGTCTTATAAGACTGGTTTCTTCACATGGGTTCTTTTTCTGTGGAAACTCAAAGTAGCTATGTATTATGTGTTCACGTTGATATAAACCAGACAGGATGTAGAATTTATATGAAAATAATATGTCTAAGCACATTTATCCAGAATTACAGACTAGGTTCTCAATTTGCGCTTTACTAAATTTCAAGGACAAACATTAAATCCACACTTTGAGGCACCTACAACTACACAGAATACGTTTTATCACTTGAAATTATATATAAAAACCGGGACTTAATTTCTTGACAGATATTTACCTAAATATATTTCGAGCGTAGAAGCAGATACTTGTGTATGCCATGGCCCTAGTTTTATCGATACTTATTTTCCTCAAATTATGTGACGGTTTTTAATCTTTATGGCTCATAAATTATTGTTCCCTTAGTTCATTATATGATAATATTCTCATTCGGATATCCCTATTCTCTTGTCCTACCGTCTTTCACAATGACCTTTATTCGCATACTGAAGAAAAATAATCGTACCATGGTTTTCCACCATTTAGTTGTCCTTGACCTTTAACCATTTTTGGCTTTCTATATTCTTTAACCTGTCTGAAATTTTAAAGGCTAATAAGGAAATCTAAACAAATGAATAATGAGAAAGGGGTTTTGTGGAGATAGCAGTAATTTAATAGTTGAGTTTATTAGTCGATTAAAGCTAGACCACCATGGTAAACCTGGAAGCACTGGGCGGCCGTTTCGTCCCAGGGCTCCTCGGTAGTGCGCATTCACGATCCTGTTCGCGGGATAAACTCATGAATTCAAGTATTAAATTACTACAATCTCCACAAAACCTTTTTTCTGATAATAACCATCATGTACTCACTAGTGACTGGCTTCAAAATGTATTTCCCGGAGTTTTACTGAGAAGCCGTGACCAGTGGATTGATTGAAGTTAGACATTAACACCGTTGGATGCCAGTCGGCTCAGTGGTCTAGAGGTTAGGCGTCCGCGCGTGCGATCGAAGGTCGTAGGTTTGAATCTCGAGTGCGACATCGTGGGTGTGCGCTGCTGAGGAGTCCCATGTTGGGACAAAACGACCATCCAGTGGTTCCAGGTTTTTCATGGTGATCTAGTTTTAATGGACTCATGAATTTAACTGTTAAATGAATAATCACTGTAATATTTTACTAAGGATTACAATACTAAGATGTACAATATAAACGATAACTTTGGATTAATATGGACACATAACATTGAAGGTTGTATTACGTTTACAAGCTGTGCGTATTTGGAAAATTGTGTAAGGCTAGTGAGAATTGTGTTAAGTTATGCTAAAAGTTCTGACAGTTATGTTTTTTTTTTATTAACGCGTGTAATATTAATTTACTTCATGAATACTTGTAAATCAGATATTTCGTTAGACCAATCATTTAATTCTTATTTGAAGGTTTGTAAATGATGCTTACAAAAATAAAGAGTTGGGGTTTTGTTTAATTAATTTTGGAATTCGTTGTGTACCCACCTTAATCCACTGAGATCGGAGTACTGATTTATAGGGCAGTCTAGTCACTTTATATCCATTGATATGGATTCATGATTTTAGCGTTCGTTATTATCACCTAGTATCATCAGAATTCAAACTCCCCTAATAAGAGTTGGTCAGGTTCATAGTTTCATATGTGAGCTAAAAAACTTATTACTAGTACAATCTACTATTTAGGGATAGCTTACTGAGTGACCGAATGGTTTTAAAGATTTCATTTCAGAATTTAAACAAGAAGCTCATAATTTTCTTAATAGTGATAGATCTTAGGTAGGGACAATGACAAAACAGAGTAATGAGGAATTTTTGATGACGATAATGACGCCTTAATTCTATGTGATCATGAATCAAAAATTTCTTTAGGAGTAATATTTTAATTCCATCTTCAAAGGATAACATAAAAAAAGCTTGTACGAATTTGCAGAATAAAGAAGAGCGCACTAATGACACTAAAAGTGATGGTGATACATATTTAGTGTAGTTATCTAGCTTCTTGCATAAATGCCCAATTTTTAAAAGGCGTTATTTCTTTGGTTAACTTAACTGCTTTGTAGCTATGAATTCACACCAAAAATGGCCTTTCCAAAGATTCTTGTTATGAGTAGTCTGTAATATTTCCGACTAATTTAACTGCTACATTTTCATCTAAAACTGAGAATCACTATAGTTTAGTAGCTTGTTTAATATACATGATCTGTTAGGAATAGTCTGATTAAGTATTAAATTTCACTCTCATAGTTTTCCTCATTCATAGAATGCTAGGAATATTCTCAGTTTGTTTTGAAACGTCACTGTTTGTCCGTTGATAGTTTCCTACAGTTCATTTACGAAATACTTGCCTGGAACCACATATTCTTCGTCAAATTTGTCGTTCATTTGTGGACAAAATTGTCAAACAATTACCTTGAGAGTTTCTTCGTACATAGCAACTGTGACTTCAGTCCCTAAATTCCGACTCCTATTTATGGAGATAAGATTTTGTTAGATGCACTTATTTAGTTTAAAAAGAACGTAATCCAAGACGTTTCATATTAAGTTGAGTCTCATACCTTTTGCACAAGTCAGTGGATTTTCGGACTCAGTAGCTAAGTGGATGGAGTGATAAAGTTTGGAGTGAAATGTACTGGATTCGAGTTTCAGAATGAACGTCAACCTACTTTATCCAGTTGAGGAGTCCCGAATAAGATGAAGCGTGCGTCCTGGATCCAATTACTAACCACATTCAGTCTATCTTTTCCATATAAAAGAACAACACGTTCAATTTAACGCGCTTATACTGTTGTGTTAAGAAATTTCGCAACAAATGGTGTGTACAGAATCTGTTTAATTTCTAATAAACTATTTAATTTAGATAACTGGTTTAGTATCGTGAAGAGTTTTGAAAATTTAGTTTTTAGTATCTATTACTTGAACGTACTATCTCTTTCTGTAAACAAATCATCTAGTGTATAGGTTATTTAAGTTGTGTATACATACGAGAGAAATGAAGAAATTAAACGCCGAAAATTTCATAATAGGTGTTTTATTATGGTATTATTACAATTAGTTCTGTATTATTATTATTATTCACTTTTTCTTAACTATACGGTTAGTCGAATAGAATTGAGAAACGAGTCTTGTCTTTCATTATTTCTACATTTCGTTTACATTGTCAGTATGTGTACTTTCTTGTCCAGACCACCTGGGCTCAATTTGGTAATGGTTATTCCAACTCTGATTTACTTACAATACTCAGTAATATTTCTACATGAGACATGATGTTAAAGGCAAAGTAACGATAATAAGATGACGTCACTGTTTAAATACATAAACGATACACGTTTCATTTTTTAGGACTTAAACACACAATAACTAATAAAACGAAAATTGAATAAATAAGCACTATGTTTCCCACACTTATAAAAATACATAGTGAGAATTAAGAAGTAAAAGAATCACAGATTAAGTTCATGCAACTTATTGGAATTTATTTCCTGCAATAAAAAAATCCATACGATGTTACCGCTGTACGAATAAGCATTTATTCTGTAACTAAGATGAACACTTTCAATTAACAAACAAGTAATACTTTATTTTTTAAATAAACAAATATCATTACCAAAAGAAAATTATGTCGATGTTTATTTATGTAGAAAAGCACATGAACAATCATTAGTTATGAATTATGATCAATACGTTCATATATGAACATGTATTTTTTTTTAGCTCAATTTTAATTAGAAACAATACATTATGAAATATGTAAATAACATGATAATAAAGATATTCATTTATTCATCAAGAAGTTTTTTCATACATTTTTCTTTTTCACATTTTACTTTTTTCCATGATTCTGCACTTGATTTCAATATTCTAAAATAATGATAAAAGAGATATTCAGTAGAAAGAATTCTTTACGGTATTTCATTCAGACAGATAAATAAAAAGTAAATTTTAATGAATATGATATTGAGATGCTGATTTGTTTTTGTTCTTTTTTTAGATTAACTTATCAAACAAAACGAAATAATTTTTTAAACTCTTTCTTATCAATAAAAATGAAGGGATGAATTAAGCTATGACTGTTTATTATTTTATTTCCGAGACAACTTTTAATGATGACAAATTCTTATTATTAAGGATGGAAGAAATTCATGATGGGGAAATTTGTAATCAGGAGTCAACTGATTATCGATTCTTGAGTCATTTATATTGTAAATTGCATAAGCTTCTACCTATATATACAAGAAAAATTTCAACTTCTGAAATACATATTAGATGGAAGCTAGTGTACAGAAAATTCTGTAAGTCATTCATTAATATCTCAATCTAAATAGGAAACAATTAAAAGATCTCAATGAATGGGTGCAGAGTATGAATACATTGGTAGCTACATAAGTTTCCATGTTTAAATAATGAAAACACAAAGAAGAGTAGTGTATTCTTAAAAGGTTGATTAGTAATTTAGGATTTGCTTTGTAATGCAACTATGTGAATGTGAGATTTAAGTCGTAAATGTGAGTTTATAGTGATGCAAGTGGATAACAAATTATTCAGGCTTGTTAACTAGGAAAATGGAAAGGTAACTTTCTAAATGCTTTAAAATTAAAAGTAATCTACAATATCCACGCTTAAGTGTCTCTCTGAGTAACCATTTATCTTAATATTCTTCGTATAGATCCGATAGTTATTTACAACAATAAATATAAAACATTATGCGATTCCGCACTATAACATTAAAGAGTATATACAATTAAGATAAAATTTATCTGAAGGTTTTATTGTATTTGCCGAAGCATAAATAACACCAGTGTATGAATATGTGTTGAAAACTATACACAGATTTAAACATATTCTACTCTTAAGAGCTATCCAGGTTATTTGTAACACTTATGTTTGGACTTCGTACAAGGTTTAATTTACAAACATTTTAACTATACATGATTAAGTGGTCGTGTTAAATAAATTCCATATTTCTCACTACACACCAGTTTGTTAAGTGAACGCTCTGATATACTTTGTATAAACAATAACACAATAAAATGAGTAAAATTTAATATCAATATGAAGATCAATTAAGAAAATTTCTCAAGAACCGGAACATTTTTAAGTGACTCAAACCAATTGATTGTTCAATGTCGATCGTTATAATAAACAAGAGTGAATATTTTTAGTAACATTTAGGTCTAGTCTACAATCGATATTCGTGTAAACCTATACTGTACTAGAAAGATGCTGATAATCCTCTAGTATCGATTTGTAACATTATCAATAGAAGCTTGCATAAGTACAATACAAGTTTGGTGAAATTTATCTACAAATGAATAGAATGAATTTGTCTTATTATAAGTATTTGTGTTACAGTTTTTTTACATTTATTCTTAAGTAAATATTGACAAAAGCTATTATCTACTAAAAAGGATTTTAGTTCATTAATGAACAATCATTTTTCTTGTAACTTCCAAAATATTCTCAAATTAAGTGAAAGTAACATAAGCGATCGAAAAGTTTTGTCTTGTTTTTTTGGAAAAAAACACTTTATATAATATAAAAATTTAAAAAAATAAACAATGATTGGAAATGTTCACATTGTGATTTGAATCAGAATAATATTATTTTTATTAGTTGACTTACTGAACACTACATTGAATAGTCAACTCATATGTATTATTTTTCTTGAAGATTGGTCATTTTGTTACTTAAAAATGTAACCTATTTGAGTCAATCATTATAAACAATATATATATATATATATATATATATAATTTAAATTTTGGAATAAAAAAAATATGGTTAATTTTGAAATGTAATAAATAAAGTATGCAGAAACTATTACTGCTATAGTTATTTTGTTGTTTTGAACTTTTGGAAAAGTTGAGTTATACTAAACATATAAATACATAGTCAAGGAGTAATAAAAAGTGAAGCAAATCGGAGTAATATATCGCTGTGTTAATTAACGACAAATGTTATCAAGTTTTCCGAGTAATATGGTGAATAATAACGCATAAGTTTGCGAAAGCTTACTTGAAAACATCTTTAAAAGCTATTCCAATTGGCTTAACGCGATAAGGAAGGTTATACTTTTCACATAAAGCTTTTACATAAGGCCTTACTAGATGATAATTATGTCTTGGCATAGTTGGAAATAGGCTGAAATGAAAAAAAACGGTATAATTTCATTAAGTTAGTAAGGTATCATGCTATACTGTCAAGTGTTTTAAGCTTCACGTAGTGAAAAATGGTCATCTTATTTTCAAAGCTATAGTACATGCAGATCACAAAGTCAATCTAATAGATGTCAAACTACAATTCCTATCTTGATTTTGTGTTATTGGATAGAATCGATCGAGAAAATCGCACCTAATTTTTAACTTTGATTAAGCTATTGAATAAGAAATATCTGTTTGAATATTTTGTTGGCTCAGGTCTTTAATTAAGTTTAAATTCGATAGTGAAATATATTCTACTAACTACATTGTTTTTGAAGTGTTTTAGTCAAATTCTATCTAAAAACCTATTTTAGTGCTTACTTTCTAAACATGTATGCGAGAAATGAACTGATCAACATTATTTCATTGTTGAAAACAACTTGAATTGTTCTGCTGTTGATATACTTGACTAAATTTTGATCAGTTGTTGTTGGCATACGTGCATCCTGTGCGAATCGCTTCCATATAGTCATTTTATCATAAGCTTTTCCATAGTCGATAGATTGTTACTAGTAGTGGAATCATAGTATGGTAATAGATAATGATCAATATCAATTGGAATTTACTAGTATTGAGAAAAGTTAATGTTTATTCTTCATGACCTTACTACTTATTTTTAAGCGTAATATTTTAATTTTTATAATTCACTAATATCTATGCAGTTAACTCGATTTAAAGTTAGAAACCAAAGTTCATATCTTTACATAAACAATGTGAACAACTAAATTTCATCCTGTTGAGTTTATCAGTTTGCACTTGGGTGAATGCATATTATTCAACCAGAGTGATTATCACTTACATACAGAGCTTATCAACGAGAGGTATCTTAAACGATAAAAATTAGTAATTTTAAGAGCATCAGGAAGAAATAAATATAAATAAAATTTAAAGATTGAGAAGTGACAATTTAACTTACTGATGTTCTATCTGGAAATTCAAATGTCCTGTAAACCAGTCATTGAATAGCGAATTTTCAACATTGCATGTTCCATTTAGCTGTAAACGAAACCATGGTTCAGCTCGATCATAATCTACTGGCATAGCCAAATGGTTTGACTGACTAACCCAAGTGAACCAGTGACTTTCTATGACTCTAGAAATCGAAATGCGTGGAAAAGAAGCAGGTTTACCTTAAATCGATCACTGGAATAATGCATTTGATACCGTTACAGTTCAGTTTGCATTGCTAAATAAATCAATGACAACTTCGAAAGGATTATTAGCAAATGATCGTAAGGTAATATCTAATAAAGGAAGGAAAAGTATCAGGCAGTTTGTAGCCTCTACGAAAATTATACGTAAACTATTCTTGACCATAATAATGTTTACGAAAAGACAAAATAAATCAGTTAATCCGATAAATCACTCTGAATTCAGGTTGGTTGAATTTCAAATGAATAGTTTATGTATCGATCATTTTTCAATCGAATATGAGAGAATATCTAGTTTATAATCAGGCAATACACTTACGAAAACTTTGTATTCTGATAAGCAAATAAAATAAACATGACCTAACAAACTGGTGTAGTACGTGAACAAAAATTTGTTGTGACATTCTGTCATTTAGATATTAAGTGACATTGTGAACATTATTAAGTGAAAACTATTAGCTCAGTTTAATTTGAAGCTATGATTTATGAAAAGCGTAGATTAACTTGGTTTAACCTTAACATAGATAGTTCGTAATAATTTTAGTCTAGGAAGTAACATAATCAATTAGCATAATTTAACGTCTTTTAAAAAAAATATTTTAATCCCAATTAATGAATCAGTTGTTCACTCTAACTACAATCAAACCTTACTTTTCAGTTTTATTTGTTCTTGTGGTGTTAGTTAACTGTAAATAATTTACACAGTTAATATTATATTACAAAACAATAGTCGTGTCTAAAACGATAATAAAGTGGAGACAACACGAAACAAGTGTTTACGTTAAAGTAGATAAATGTAGCATTAGTGTGAAACTATTTTAAAACTCATGTTTTATATGGTTTATGTGAAACTAGATACATTTAGTATTTGTGAAACAAATACTTTTTGTCTTTGAGCATGCATACGTTATTGATTTTCTATTGTTTACTCTCTAGACATCTTTAACTGTATTCCTTCTTGGACCTTTTCCATAACAGATTTCACTTCATAACTTGTGGAAGTAATATTAGGGAACCTATCAACTTTAGCAGATGCACAGCTATCAGAAACTTTAAATCATTTCCTGAATTTTGAGAGATGGTGCATTGCAAACACTATCGGACGTAAGCACAACTGATAAAACAGAATATAAGATACCATAGTAACTATTTTATCAAAGTGATATTTAAATGATCAGATTGGGTATATAATGAAGGAAACTTGGAAAAAACTTTGGAATTTTTTAGCCCGTTTAATGGAATATTACGGAGCATCACTAACGTAGGCATATCTTACTCATTATCCTAACGAAATGTCATTATAAATTTCAAAAGTCGGAGGATAAATAGTGTTTTTAAGTGTTATTTTGGCACATGTTACCGAACTTCAAATTAGCAAACCAAAAGAGAGAGGACTAAAAGCATAAGTCACAAAATAAAGATAATGTAATCAGTACAAAACTAAAAAGGCAACCAAGGACAAAATGGAATCGAGAAGTTCAGGTAAGGAATAAAGCTATATCCGATACTTGAAGAGCTATATACAATGAGTGCCTTTGTATCGTTGTAACTGTTTTTAAGCCACATAAGCAATAATATTAAGTCATTAATTACGATGATCAAGTACATTTTCTAACCAATTTAATATTCTCTGACTTCATGAACTGATACAGTGTTTTGGTCCGGTCACTTTAAGCCTTTTTCTAACCTAATTATATGTCAGCCAGTTTATGAAGCAGGGGTATAGCGTGAATGGTAATGCATTATACATAAGCAAGGAACTACGTTGAATTCACGATCAATTGCTTAAAATCTACACGCAAACTCCATTCATAGAAAAAGTTATTTTTGTTTAGCGTTTAAGTTTATGTCGAGATCACAATAGTTTATTTTATATGGCGTAGCCTGTTACTATCCAGTTTCGTCCTTAAGTAAATAGTTTACACTAAATAATCATAAAAAACAATACGTGATAATTCAGCGGAAGTTATTACATTATGTTATTAATTCATTTACTTGTACTTTAAAGTGGTATTATTATTAACTGTATTTGGTTATAGTTGTACTATTTTATTCTGAAATCGTGTAAAATTTCTATTCAAAGTTAGTTTCACAGCACAAACTGAAGAAGTAATATTGTTAACTTTATTATTAAATAAAATTAATGATTAATGTAAGTTATATGACATATATGTTCGATTTTAAGTATTTCAGTTCCACAGCATATCAGTTGTGACCAGAGTAGCTCAGTTGTAACATCTCAGACTGTCAAGCTAATTAACTTGATATCAGATCTTGCAGATAGAGCCAGTTCACTAAAGATTAAAGCTATACTTACCGGACGAGTACTAACTAGCACGAAACCTAGGTCTAAAGATTTTCATCGATTGACTCCTAACACCTAAAATTAGATTCCGACTATCTAGTGTTGTATCCATTAATTTAGTTTGAGTCGGATATTTTTCTGTTTTGAACTCATGTCTGGCTTTTAAAAAGCAGTACCATGCAATCACTATGTAATGTTATATAGACCTAGGTTAGGTTATGGTTAGATCGACTATGTATCGACTTTTCTAGAATGTTCGGGATTATTCTCAGGAAAAGTGAAACTTTCAGGACGGACATGAAAAATGATTGCGTTAATCAAAATGTTTTATGATTTGAGATTGTCATAAATTTTATCGACGTTAATGTAATGACTTTTTCATTTCTTGAAGAATCGGTAATAAAGGATTTTGCATGCATATTAAAATATATTTTTATCTTTCTCAATGCTGTTTTAAATTGGATGGTTTCTATTTTATTTCTAATACATATCTATTTGCCGAGAACTTCTTGATACCGAGATCTTTGATTAGTAATCTTTTAGTTTCATATTAAAACGAAAATTGATTTATATGACAATAGTTATAAGTGTAGTAATATTAATAATGATCACATACCTTACAACAAAAAAATAGCCCAAAGTTCCCCAGAATCCAAGCAATGAATAATAAAGAGAGAGTAACTTTACGCAAAATCCCGTGACATACAGAAAATCCTTAAACGAATTAAATAAAGAAAATCTAAAAATGATCTTGAAAATGTAATTATCAAGCACTGTAAGTTACAGCGAAGTACAGAAAAATGCAATTATGTTATTTGAGTAGAAGCCCATTAAGTAATAATTTTAATGGATGTTAATTTAACATTTAGTACCCTACAACAGTTTTCTAATGTTTAAACTCTGAATGACATCTTAAATGTTTGAGTTACTTCGTTATACATTTAGTCATGAATTGAAAGATTCTACCTTGGGCACGCAATAGGTTTAATAATCAAACTTTATATAGGAAGGAGTTTATCGCATTTATCATCGGTACACAAGGATATATATTCCCATTGTTTCATCTCCTGAGTTGATTTATTATAACTGTAAACATGGGGAATGTAATATGATATACATGCATATTCAGGGAACCATCAACTAACCCGAAAATCACATTTGTTATTTCAAAGGAAAATAAAACTCTTATATATTCGCAGTAACGTGGGTGAGACAGACCCTAGAAATATGACTACGGGTTTGATAATGACATTATCATACGATTAATTTCTAATTTATTCTAATAAGAAATGGTAAGAAAATTTTTCAAGTTATTTCTTTTAAGTATTTTGTGTGTGGGCTTGGTACGTTAGTTGCAGGCTAACTACTTACTCAGGTTATATATGGTTTTTGTAAAATACTTTTAATTGATTCATGTAATGATCAATGTTCAGTGTTATTCTGTCACTGATTTCAGTCTTTCATAATAGTTGCAAATAGAACTCAGAAAAAAAATTACTAAGCAAAGAAACGAGTAAAAAGTGATTCCTATTAATAGTTAAAAACTAGTAACTTCCAGCGGGGGTCACATAATTCGTTTCCAAGTAGCGTTAAAAATATGAGGTTGTTTGCTATTCTGTTAAGATTGAACCTATATATGATTTATGAACATGGTTTAGTATATAGGATTTTGCTTATTGTAATCGTATTTTGTGTTCATGCTTAATTAAAAAGCATAAAATAATTAACAATAAACGAAATAAAGCAGTTTTCATGAAGTCAAGAGATCAAACTTCATTTGGCTGACCTAATATTTTTTTGTTTCTTGAACGTAAAGCGTAGTTAATCTGACTTTTGTTTGATCTGAAATGCACATTATAATCGTGAAACCGATTTAAGTAGATTTGGTAGGTTAGTTATGCAGTCAGAACATATTGTGTTTTTCTTTTGACAGGTATATTACGTCATTTGGGCATGCCTACTGAGCCCTAAGACCGTACATTTTAGAATGCCTAGGTTGTCAATTCGTCTACCATTGAATGCAAGAATCTACTGACATTTGGTAATTGAGTAGAGGACAATTACATGTATGTCGTACATTGTAAATTTGCTTACCTCTATTCTTTTGTGAATCCACATATGACGGAAGGACATGATTTGGAAATAAACAGGAAATAATAGAGGGGGACCAACTGAAAGAAAATAATCATCTGTTAGTCTTCCTCCATATGCTATAATTTGACAGCATTCTTTAATACAAGATTCATACTAAAAGACCTATTTTCTCGTGATTCAGTACAGTGATGTTGAATGTCTAAAGTCCATATGAGGGAAGAAAAATGACATGTAATTGATTTGTAAAGTGATAGATTCTCTAGCAAATCTAATTGAACCCATGTTGATAGTGTTTTACAGTTTGTACAGTGTGGTGTTATTTCTGGAAGTTTTTGTACGGAAAATCAAATACTTAGTTGATATGTTTTTACTAGATTTGGTGAGCGAATCTATTAGACTAGAATTTCTCAAAGTGATTTCATTGGTTATAGTCTACTTTTCTAGAATTTAATATTCATTCCTTTACGATTTATCATTTTACTTTCCGTGAGGTTAAGCACATTTTCTTAATACTAATTGTTCATGAGACTATAAAAATCAAAAGCCTATATATATATAACATGAAGAAAATTGTTGTTTTTATAGACGATTGAGTCTTCATACATCTTTTTTTCGGTAAGTGTAATTGGTATATAACCACAAACAGTTAACAACCTTTGATATTTATTTTAGTTAGTTAAGTATTTGAAGTGGTTTTGAATAAGTTTTTTGTTATGTATGCAATAGAAATTAGAAATGATGAATAGAATTTTGAGAAAAAGCTTTCCGAACATAAAAGGTGATTTTATTAATTTAATAGATTTGAAGCATTTAGTCTCTTCGATAAATTTAGATAGTGTAATAAGAAGACGAAGATTATCAGAGCTATGTGGTATATTAGCGCAATACATTTTGAACAACCTGACCACACATATACTAATTAAGAACATTTATGTACAAAAACAGATTTGCTAAACTTATTCCTGATCGCTGCTTTCTCATATAAAATATTGTAAGATCAAATTCATGAATATGAATGTTAATCTGTGAAGTTTGGTATATGTACCAAAATAAAGGTCTTACCCTAAAGTAGTGTAATAGTTTGAAATGTTGCGGCTACAAATTTAATAAATAGTAATATTAATCAACACTACGATGTAAAGGACAAAAAGATCTATTCGATAAACGTATTCTGATGGTCGAGAAATATCTGATTCTAATATGTTTACAAATTAAGGAATGATAATGTAACTTTTAAACTTTAGTCCCACTAAATTAACAATATTTGAATAATACACTAAATCTTATTATTAAGTAGAAACGGTTTTATAATCGAACGAAATATTAAAAAACTGTAGGTGTCTAGTTAGAATTAAGTTACATATTAGACAAATTGTACATGCTATTGAACTTTACATGGCCAGTCGGAGTTTACAAAAACCGTTGACCTAGATTCAACTATCTTATACTCCAGAGTAAATGTTTAATTATTGATTGTCGTATAAACAAATAGTTTAGTGTGGTCAAACTGTTGGATTTGTTTCCGGAAGACAAATTCATTAGTAAAATAATGACTTTTACCAGTACTAAATTTTCGTCTATATAATATTAAAATTAAGTGCCAAGAGTACAAAGCAAAATATTTTAATGAAAACAGAATGCTGTAACCACCGTTAGATATATTATGAAGACCAACCACGCAACGTGATAAGGACAGTTTACCATAGTGAACATAAAAGTTAAAATGAGTGCCCTAAGATTTCTTGGTGTCACTCCTTTTTTTATTACCAATTGATAATACATTTATGGGAAACGAGGTGTGTGATGTTCATTTTGGAAAGGCATATTATATGACTAATAACACCACGATAATCCTTGTTTATAACCGAATAGAATTGTCTTGGATACATTTGTTTCGAATCAATCCTTCAATTTAATTCAGTCTTGTATTGCATCGCCTTAATGGCTATGAGTTTTGCTGATAAACACCAACCAGTCGTTTAAGGTCGTGAGAATTTCCTGAAATTTTATCTTGTCCAAATTTAGTTCAGGTCTCTCACTTAATTGGCGTTAACCTTTACACTTTAGTCAATGTCCAGAAAAAATCAGTAGATATACAGAACTACCTTAAAAAACAACTCCCCAGTCAAATATGTATGTTTAACCTTCAGGACTAAGGTAATCAAATTTATCTGCTGAATATTTCAGGAATAGATAATTAGAGAGAATCCTCTTTAATTACTTCACTGATAATTATGATCGTGCTAACCAATAATATTAAGGAGGAAACAACACTTTATGCTATAAGTGTAAAAAGATGAATGTTATTTCGATTGTGTTTACTGAGGTTCAAAACCCATGGAGAAATGAAGAAATGAATTTGTTCATTGTCATATACTCACACACTGTTAGGGTAGCGAAATTCTCTGAAGAAGTATTCATATATTATATGCCTGCACATAAACAGTGCTCTTTGTGTACCCATGAAGATCACTTATATAAGAGATGATGTAGATTTCCGCATGACATTCTTACAGGAACAAATGAAAACATAAACTATGGTTTTAGAAGCATCGATTTGTATAGACTTCGTTTTTACTCAAAATATTGTTGAGCGATTATTCAAATAAATTTAATTAGATTTTGAAAAAGAGTTATACGCATAATGTCTGTTTATGTGAGTCTAGAGGTCATACTTTTTAAAACAGTAATGCGCTATTCATACTCACAGCTATACTTGTGGAAATACTATCGTATAGTGTCTAGTCTGGGCGGCAAGAGTCAGAGAATAGCCTCTAAGGCTTGCTCGATAAATTATCTCGTCAATTGTGAATGTTCGTTGTCATCTGAGGTGAGAAATAACTTAGTAATTAGTTAAGTTTAGGAATTCCTTATCAACATTATTTCGGAGCTTTCTTGAATGGCTTACACTATGTGAGACACAAATCGATACAAACCGTTTGATGGCTTATTTGGATATGAGTGAAGCTTCATATTTATAGTCCTTTAATATTAGTATGAAGTTTTTCCATTTAAAGGTTGACATTCCTTAGCTGAAAAAAAGTATTGAGTTAGTCGCTCCTCCAATGATAATGGATGAGATCTAGAAAAAGAAAGAGATGGTCATGATGGTTGGTTGTGTACACCATGAGATTGTAAACTGTTAGTAACAGAGACATGAACATGATCTTGGTAGTCAATGTAGACAGATAGATTTATGCCCCACCTATCATTCTGTGATAAAAGAGGGTTAGGTTGTACATTTTGAAGTGTAAATATTTGATTAATATAAGTGCATCTAGGTCGTAGACTGGATTGGTTTTCTCAGGTATATCTTTCTCGAGCTCTGTTTAGGAACTGAATGATTATGTTTGTGTGTTTCGCAGCAATAATCTTATTCTTTTTTGTAGACTTGGACGACCAACAAACGAAATCGGTCAAACGAGGTTACGTCGGGCTCTCAGATTCTAGCTAGTATCTCGATTAAATTAACTAATAACGACAGACCACAGCTCTTAAAGACTTCTGAAATCAAATTATCATGTCTTGTTCTCTCCATCTTTAAGAGCTAGATGACTTGTGCATAAATTTTATTCAATTTATTTGGTAGGAAGAGGTAGTTGAAGAGTAGCTGTATATCGGATAAATCGCAACTTAAACTATTTAGTCTGTTGATTCAATCTCGTGGATAGAGACTAGGTCAGCTTTCCACTTCACTCTGAACGTCTCAGCAACAACTGAATTCTTAATACTTGTTTTTCTAATTATTCTAAACAGTAATCTAGTGTTATCTATCGCCGTTGGTTTTTCTACTGTTATAACTCTCAAAAGCGTACTCATTATAAAACATATACAAATCCAGATTGTTATCGTTCATGTAAATAACAACTCAGACTTAGCCTAATTGAGTAATCTACTTCATACAAAATAAGTCAATTTATAGTGTCATTTTTCAACAAATGCTTTAAATTGGTGACGCAAACACCTATACCGTCGAAAGCATTTTAATTTGTTTGTGGAAAAATCAATAAAACTAGGCTAGACAGTTATATCTAACCTTTTTTTAAACAAAATTAATGTGCACTGCTTAGCTTCAGTGCAAGTAAATTTAAAAATAAATTTACTAATCCTGGAGATTAATGAAAACCATAAGATCTATGTGAAGATTTTAAAGGTTTAGAAACATACTCTTTCATCAACATTTTGAATATGTATGATCAAATTATTTGAATTCTGTATCAGGAAAATGAATTGTTAAATTCTATACGTGTAATGATATATATAGTGGCGATGAATAGGAGCTAGATAATTTCTTTCAAAGTATACAGAAATCCAGTACTCGGGTCCAGGGTGTTTCTATGGTGTTTGCTTCTGATACCACACCTGAATGTATGAATAATTCCATATATTAATTTTTAAAGTTACTGCGGTGTAATAGACATAAAACCCTTAATATTTAAATTTAAATTTTGGTATTGTTGGGATATTCAGAAAAATGTCCCAAAAATTATTCTGTTAAGGCTAACGCTATCCTTGGGCTTGAGATGGTGTCATTTCCTCATTGGTCAATGTTTATTTCACGTATCATTTGCCTACTGGTCAATATTGTACAATGTTATTTTCTATTTTTTGGTACGATGTGGTCTGCTTGACTGGTATATAAACAAAGCATGTTTGAAATATAACGATTCATCTCTCCGAGGCTGAGACTTGTGTTCCGGACTCAACTGGCTGGGCTAGGCAGGGGAGCGGGACTAATCAGAACCCTAGGCCGTTCTTATGTGTTTGCGCGTCTTTGGTCCGATCGATAATTCGCTGTCCTCTAATCGGCTGCCGTCACAGTTATAGTAGGTATCGATAATTCAGAATAGCTGTTAAGCTTGCCTAAATAATGGTACTCATTAATGTGCTTTTCAGGTAGATAGAAAGCTGAGGAGGAACTAATTGCTTAATTGTACTGTGATATTTTCAGTGGACATAAAATGTTACACTTACAAGCTCTGAACTTGGTTCGTATTCAGGTTATTGTATGGTTAACTATTCTTATTATTCAGTTATCAGTAATTTACATTCTAGGGTTAACAAGTGTTTATCTGTTCGTTGTATTTTAGCCCATCTCCTTAATTGGTATAAACTGGTTAAGAAGTAAGTCATATATTGGGTGAAACGCAAACGAATTTTCAAGTGCAAATAATTTTCTGGAGATAAAGCAATAATGTATTGGGAGTTATTTTCAGATAAACTAAATGTCATGTCAGTATAAACAGGAGATAACATAAAAAACACTGCTAAGTTAAGATCTATTTGTATTCGTTAAGTTGTGTAAATTAGGATTTTATAGATCATATATTCTGTAGAAAGAAATTCCTTTAAAAATAATAAGTCTGATATTTACCACGAATTATTTGTCACATATTTAGATTAAACTAAATTTCTAGCGTAATCTCTTTAATGAGGGACTAAATATCCTCCTAGAATTTAAATAACGGGTCAAATCAATTAGCGATAATTAGTAGAATTGGTAAGAATGTAGAATGAATTTATCGATATCAGTTGAATATTTATGGAATAGTTAATGACTTACTTAGGAAAAAATATTTATGCTGGTGTTCATAAGGAAAATGCCACGTCCATTTACTTTCAGGACTAGCTGCTCTTCTAAGCACGTTATCACCAACAACAAAAATTGGTTCTAGTCGGGTATCTGGATCTTTATCAATCTGTATTTAGATTGGTGATAGAACAAAATTTGTGAGAAATAGTAAAACTGTAAATTTACCTGATGAAGGTATTCTCGTAATTTGAACTTTTAAAACAAAAGTAGCTATCAAGTATATTTAAATACTCAGGATAAAATAGAGTATACAATAATTTACTGAAAAAATCATCTGTTTGGTATTTTGCAATTTAATTCAATTTATTATTATATTTGATTTTGATGATACATAATCAAACATGGACTACCTGAGATCAAATCATCAATTATTTATGCATTTATTATGAATTAACGACATGGTTTACACTCAATAGATAATACATTTTCATTACATTCAGGGACACTGTAAAAGTCAGCTAAAGTTGTAGTAATTTCTGCGACAAAATATAACTTACCACGTTCGGTTTAGCATGATGTTGAGAATGCATGTGATTCCACCAATGGCAAGAAGCTCCCTTAGTTAAACCAAGGATAATTTCATGGAAAATATGATTTATTCGAGTACTCCTAAATACCGATAGATGTCCTAAGTCGTGTTGCAGCCAGCTTGCTTGACCCTGAAAAAAAAGTAACAATAATATATTGTCCGTTTTAATGACTTTTTCAAAGATTTTATGAGTGAAAGCATCTTCGAGTGGAAAAGTGTACCAAGACCATGAAATCCTAATGGAAGCTTACTTGCTGAACTGTGCGTATGTAAATTGAAAAATATGATTACAATTAAGATTGGAAATAATTATTCTGTAATTATATGTTCAGCTGGGAGGATCAGTCAAATAGTTACGGAAATGAGGAGGTACGACTTAGTGGTGCTCGGAATCAGTGAAACTGATTGGGCTCAAGCTGGACAGAAAAGGATAGATTCAGGAGAGATCGTTCTGTACTCTGGTCACGAAGAAGAAAATGCTCCACACACTCAGGGAGTTGCTCTAACTCTGTCAAAAGTAGCACGTTAAGTAGTTATATGATGAGAATCTCATGGATCCGCAATCATCAAAGCATCCTTCATAACAAAGAACGAGAGAATCACAATGAACATTATCCAATGTTATGCACCCACCAGTGATAGCAGTCACGACGATAAAGATCAGTTTTACGAGAGGTTTCAGTCGATCATAGCGAAGTGCTCAGGAAAGGACCTGACCTGATGAAAGACGTAAACGCCAAAGTCGGAATGGACAACACCAGGTGTGAAGATAACATGAGACGACATGAACTGTCTGTGAGAAAGGAACGAAAATAATGACAGATTGTTAAGTTTGTGTGCATTCAACAAAATGGTTCTAGGTGGCAAAACATTCCCCCACAAACGCATACACAAAGCTATGTGGGTCCCACCGGATCACACAACACAGAGAATCAGACTGATCATATTTTCATCAATGAAAATTTCAGAAGGTCAATGGGAGAAGTGAGAACCAGGAGAGTTTTTGACATAGCTTCACATCATCACCAACTTGTAGTTGCCAAGATCAAACTGAAGCTAAAGAAACAGTGGACAACTGGACAGACAGTGTTACAAAGGTTCAATATAGCCTTCCTTTGAGATACTAACAAACTCAATGAATGGAAGATACCTCTAAGCAAAAGGTTCCAAACCTTACAAGATCTACTCACATAATCAGAGACTACTATGTAGAACAACTGAAAAGGGATTAATGAAACATTGACTTCTAAATGTCATTAGCTGCTGGGCTTTAACAAGCATTATCATAAACAATGGATCTCCATCGAAAACCTGGTCAGGATTCAAGATAAGAAGAACAAGAAGGACAGAGGAACAGGTGGGTAGAACACTTTGAAGAGCTTTTGAATAGACCAGCCTCAATGAACCTACCAGCTATCTCAACAGCACCCACGGACCTTCCCACAGCAGTCACCCCTACAACAATCGAAGAAATTAGAATGGTCATCATACAAATCAAGAGTGGGAAGGCAGCAGGACCTGAAAATATACCAGCCGAAGCACTGAAGTCAAACATAGAAGCAACTGTAAGCATGCTCTACGTTCTCTTCACGAAGATTCGGGAGGAAGGACAAGTTAAATGGACAGACTGAAAAGAAGAATACCTCATCAAGATTCCAAAGAAAGGAGATCTGTGGGCACTACATAGGCATTACGCCACTATCGGTACGAGGGAAAGTTTTCAATAGAGTGTTGCTGAACCGAATGAAAGATCAACTGACCGGATTCCGTAAGGATCAGTCGTGCACAGACCAAATTGTGACACTGCGGATCATCGTTGAACAATCAGTTGAGTGAAAATCGTCACTATCCATCAACTTCATTGACTATGAGAAGGCGTTTGATAGTGTGGACAAGAGAACATTATGGAAATTTCTTCAACACTATGGAGTTCCTCAGAAGATTGTCAACATTATCCAGAACTCATACGGCGGACTATAGTGCAAAGGCGTGCAATGGGGGACAGCTGACAGATGCATTCCAAGTAAGGACCGGGGTTAGATAAGGCTACTTACTCTTTCGTTCCCTCTCTCTCTCTCCCTCGCCTTTCTCCTTCTTCTGGTGGCTGACTGGATTGTGAAGACCTCTACGTCTGAGGCGAAGCACAAAATACAATAAACAGTTTGGATGCAACTAGATGATTTGGATTTGCCAGATGACCTGTCTCTTCTATCCCATACACGTCAAAAAATGTAAGTCAAGACAAGCAATGTAGCAGAAGCCTCTGCATCAGTGGGCCTCAACATACAGAAGGGAAAAACCAAGATCATCAAATGCAACTCGAGGAACACCAATACGATCACACTCAATGGAGAAACTTTAGAAGAGGTGGAAACTTTCGAGTATCTGGGTAGCACCACCGATAAACAAGAAGGATCTGATGCAGATGTGAATGCAAGGATCGGCAAAACAAGGATAGCATTCCTACAGTTGAAGAACATTTGGAACTCAAAACAACTGTCTGCAAGCCATAATCAAAGTCACAATCTTCAGTACGGACGTCAAGGCAGTTCTACTGTATGGAGCTGAAACTTGAAGAACTGCCACAACCATCATCAAAAAGGTGCAATTATTTGTAAACAATCGTTTGCGAAAGATACTGAATGTCCGTTGTCCGGATATCATCAGCAACAGCCTACTATGTGAGAGAACAAACTAGGTTCATATGAAGAGGAAATTAGGAAAAGACGTTGGAGATGGATCAGATACATGTTGAAGAAATCATCAAACTGCATCACGAGGCAAGCGCTTACTTGGAATCCCGGATGAAAACGGAAAGGGGAAGGCCAAAGAACACACTACGTCAAGAATTGGAAGCAGACATCAAAAGGATGAAATAATAAGTGAAAACAACTGGGAAGGGAGTTAGATAGAGAATGATGGTGGGCGTCCTATGCTCCTCGACAAGAGGTAACAGGCGTAAGTATCTATCAATGGTTTTTGTTTTCAAAGACTATGATTCCTATATTTAGAGCTGCCACAATCTCCAGACAGTTATTTAATATTCAGTAAAATTGCCACATTTTTCGACTATTAAAGTCTTTTATGACGTTTAATTCGAGACATTCATCTAACTGCATTTTGAAGGATGGAGCTTTTACCCATTACTAATATAATTCTTATAAGTAAAGGTCAGTAATTTTCTGCCTTTGATATTCATGACTATAATTTGTCGTCCCATGTTTGCATAAAGTGTATACTAAGCATATTATTTATCTATGGCCTTCAGTTACAAGTTTTAGTTTATTCGTTAAGTGATTTGCACCGGAATCCAGGATGAGTGGTATATTCTAATCATTAAAATATGTAGACAAAAAAGGCAACACAATTTAGCTCTCAGTTTCCTGTAAATATCAGATGTTCGTGTTCATCTAACTATGCAATAGATGGTGAATTTAACTTATTAATGTTGCTTTACCTAGGATTAATCAAATAACCCAAACGATAGGAATGATTTTGTGTTTAAAAATGTTGAAAAATACTGACATATACAATAAATAGGTGTTCACAAGGAAGCAAGTTTTATTTAACTTGGTTATATTGAACTTAGTGCCTAGATAAGTAGGTAGAATGATTTGTATCATCAGTTTTCTCAAAACAATATTCGAACAATATATTTATTTTGGACTTTATTGAACTGTGACTTTCTGATGATTATCTAGTTTATATTACATCTTTAGCCAGTAAGAACAATTCTTCGACTAGGACGAACTGGAAAATAAAAACTACGGGAATGTAAACCACTTCGACTGGTAACACAAAATTGGATCATAAATCTGGGTCATTCATCTTTCAGCATGGTAAATCGTTTTTTCTACTGTTTTACAAACACGTTTGTAATAGTTATCAATGGCCACTTAATCAAAAATCTTGCTTTTCAAGCATGGCCAGGAAGAATAAAACAGAACTTCGGTACGTGACTGAAATCAGCTCAGTATTTTTTAAAAGTTCTGTATACAAGTTGTCTTTAAAGTTTTGAACCACGATATCGAGGCCTTTATTTTATTGCTGCAATGTTTGTGACCTGAATTTGGAACCATTTCGTAAGTTGCACAATCAGAAATGCTTTATGGAATACGGTATTTAGTCAATATTTATGCCTTGGCTTTTTATAAAATCTTCCAGGGTGTCAACCCAGAAGGCATGTTTTAACAACCACCTATGTTTTACATGTGTATTGAAATCAAGACAATTCATTTCAAATGGTAATAGTTACGCATTCTATAAATGATTGTATTCACAATGAATATATGAAGCAGTCTGCTTAAAATTTCAACTAGTTAGAATCATATTTTTAAACTTCATTCATGTTTCTTCTCGTTTTCGAAGGGTGGATATTAAAGTCAAAATAACCCAGGAGTATGCTGTTATTTTTAATACAATACCATAAACGTGTTACGTGAACAATTTATTCACATTAAATCTAACGCAGATAATGTCTTGTGGTATACTAATATGAATAACAATTTCAAAGATAAATAAATTTTTAGGTAAACATTATAGTCTATTGTGCCTTGATATTAAATTACGAAAATCAGCGTGCATGAAAACGTTTCAATTGTAGGCTAAAAAATTATAAATAGTTCCCAAAATAATTTATAAATCATAAATCATTTATATTTGATGTGTGCTATTTTTTCAACTGGAGTAAACTTGACTACTTGCATACTCGGCCTTCATTAAAATATTTACTTTTACTACATACAATCTTTCAATGAAGTTATGCTTGTTGACTAGGCTTGATCAGTCTCCTGGTTATATATTTCTCTGTGAACAGTCGCCACCAAAGTTGTCATTGGCATCTGAAGATATACATTGTTCTAATTTGTAATATGGGAGTTTTTAATATTATATCAGTCTAATGCTGTGACCTTATAACCTAATCCATTACTGAATTTCGATTTCCTGGTATATGTAATTATCACTTTCACAGAGGAATCAATGAAGAGCGGATGTATACACTAAATGGTGACATTTATAAAATGAGATTTGCATGATCTAAAGATTATGAACTACAGCAGAATCTAAAGATTCACTTCTTATTTCGATAATTGATCATACAATAAGAGAAACGTCTTATTTTGAGTAGGGATTTTTAATTTAACGAAAAGCCATGAAAGTCTTTGGCTATATGAGGTGGAATTTTGATGATATGTTCAAGAAAAAGACAGTAATATATAAGTTTATGAACATTAGACATATGGAAACAGAAGTTTAGAGAATAGGTTCAACAGAATTGGTAGACAGTTTAGGCTCTGACCATCTTTGAGCTATGAATTTAGATGTAATAATTATTCGCAATCAAGAGTACTTGACTTCTGTTCATTTAAGTTTTTTGACTAAAAGGCAAGGGATTTAAATATCTTTTAGAGAATAAGTTGTCTTCATGTTGGCTAAAGTTGTTATTTACTACTATCAGTATGTAAGGGAATCTAGAAGCTTACAAGGAAAATTTGTTTAGCGGAGATAGACGTGATAAGAACAAAACTCAGAATCAATTGCATGAAAACTCAGAGAGTAAGGAGGCATCTTAAGAGCCGAAATAAACTGACATTATATAGTATTACCTCATCAAGACACAAAAGATACGTTTCACATCTGAGTTGAGGTGGCTAACGAAAAGGTAGACTTGTAGCTACATGGCAGGGAAAGAATGACTTATTTTTAGGTTCCAAAGACTGTTTATGGTATTTCTGGCTTTAAAAAATCACCACAATACGAAAATGGTCTTTTTACATGTTAAAGTCAACAGTTCAACTTGAGAAACAAGTTACTCTTTTTAATTTTTTAATCACCATTTTTATGCAAAATCGATTTTATTAGCAAATACCTTTTATTGGTAAGCATACTAAAAATATAATTACAGTGAGTGGACAAGGATCATTTTAAAAGGTGACATTAAGTATGTTGTTTAATATTGATGAGTTTTTCATCCGTTAAAAATCCGTGCGCAAATGTGAAGTTTCGTGAGATTCACATATCTCAAAAATGCGAGTGGTATTTGCTTGTTTATTAAAAAATTCGAGTACTAGGGAATAAGTCTAAACAAAATTGTAAAAGGGGAAGTAGTGTCAATTTTAAGACGATCATTAAGAGACTCAACTGTGACACTTTTGCCTCGGCAGTTATTATTATTTGGATTGTTTGTATTATATGAATTTGTCCAAAAAACTATCAAATATTCATATATTGAGTGATGCTAAGTCAATTTTTATGCTAACTCCATGTGAAAGAAGTAATTTTCACCCAAAAGCAGTCTGATAAGAGGTGTCTTTTAAAGAGAGTAGAAAACGCAGATAGCAATAACTTATTTTCACACAGTAAATTACCATCATTTAGTGTCTTGTATTGAGACTTGTTACTCAATAGTCGGACCTGTATCATATACCTCACCAATTAAGCTTGATGCTTTGAAAATAGAAGTTTATTTATTTGCAGTTGGAAGTAAAATTTTGCAGTTCCGACTGTTTGTGAAACTGCTCTTAAAACAACACTCGAAATAGTATAATATTGTTCATGGTAACTAAAAGGCTCATTATATTTTGTTAATACGTGATAAGGAGCTGAGGTGATCATATCAGTTTAGACGCTTATATATATATATATATATGAACCGAGAGGTTAAATAGAGTTATTTCAAAAGGGCATGAACACGCTCACTTGAGATATTGAATACAGTATAACTGATAACATAATTCGCCACCAGCTGGTTCCGAAATATGCCAAGTTTAAATATGCCAGTAATTCGAGCACAAAAATTTGAAGCATCATTGTACCAAAGAAGAGCTTGCTTCCATCAAATAGTCCCTAATATTGAGATTTTCATGCATAAAAGAAATAAAGCTAATCTAAATTCAGCAAAATATCAGTGTATAAATACAATTTTAGTAGTAGTGAAAAGAAGCCCGGTTAAGTCAATTAAGTTTATACAAATTGCATTTGATAATTTCTTTGTTTACAGAGACAGAGCTACTTCAGTTTAAGACACGAGCGTTTAAATTGTAGGTTGCTGAACATGGGTTTGTTTTCAAATTCACACCATCTAACGCCAAAGCTTCAGGATTTGGATGATTTAACACTTTAGAAATTATTGATGTATAAAGTGGTGTTAAGGGCTGAAATTAATGAAAAGATATACATACTTATTTATTCTCTCCAGAAGAAAAACATTAATTCGCGAAATTTTAGTGGAGTATTGATGAGTATGGTTTGCAAAATCAACTGACAGATGCAATGATAAATGATAGTCTTTTGGGAGCTGATATAATTGGTTAATTCGAAAGGTTTGTTTCTAACACATCGTTAAATGGCATCATTTAACTAGTGTTAAAAAATTATTGTCTGAAAAATAGATTGGTCTCAAAGTTTTTCATATTAGCCCCATCATTTTCTAACATCTGTGAGAATAATTCCAGATATTTATCAATTATGTCTTACTTAGCCGTATGAAAAAGTTTAATAATTGAAATCCCCGCAATGTTTTTCAACACGAGGAGTCCTAAAAACGTCTTTATCTATCTCATCAAATTCTTCGTTTTCAGATAAAGCTATATATGAAAAATTTAGCATCTGTCAAGACTAAAATGTACTAAGACCAGGGATGTATGGAATGTTCGTGTTAATAAAATCTGATTGGCACTTAAAAGCCCAACTGGGAACCAACGATATTTTATTAAAAGAAACCTGAATACATGATGAAATCTTTTAGGACAAGTGACGAGGTCCTTCGTACCTGCTACAAAAAGACGAACATATGGTGAGTATAATGACGGATAGTCAATTAACTGGTGATTATATTTATCGGTTATCAAACAAAAGGCTAAAAATAACTTTCCGTATAATTTTTACCCAATGAGCTTTCACACTACGCCATGGATTTCAGACGGTGTTTTAATTACTTGCCATAATGTGTTGTTTATATAAGCAACTCATTGAGTGGCAACAGAAAATATGATGTCCGTTATATGAAGAAATGCAAAATAAAGTCACTAACAATACCTGAATCTTACCTGCTGAACCAGGATATTACGTACACCTTCTAGATCCTCGTGGTACTCCTTAATTTTGGAATTTATATCTTTGTCTTCTGGACAATCTTGGTCCAGATCTCCGACGTAGTATGCACTCAAAAACTTTTCAGCATACTGACGGTTTTTGTGAAATGCAATAAACGCACCCTACACATTGAAGTGGTATTATTATATTTTAAATTACTGTTGCGTCTTGACCGGCGTAGTGACCGATAACTTTGCGACCACCCGGATGTCTATTCTGCCAACTTGACACGTCATAAACCTTGTTGTCAATAACAATCCAACGGTCTTTCAATGACTGATGCTTTTTTACTTCTCCCCAATTAATAAGACCCTTCGCCATCCGAAGTTCTCGAAAACCCAAAAATAGTATTGATACTACGCGGAATGCACAGTACACAATATTTTGTACAAATAAACACTACAAACATTGTTCAATTAACTTGTCAGGTTATCCCTGAACATTTTTCTTTAGAGTACGTTTATTGACTTTGAGATATGATGAGAGGTAATAATGTGTTGGTCTCCAAGACACCTGATAAATATTCCAGGTGGGTGAAGTTGTTAAGGTTGTAGTACAGCAGATTTGGGGACTATCTTGTCATGATTTATCTTATAGCTCACAATCCTCTCCCTTCTATGACATCCTTTATAAGATTAAGTCCGAAAATACGATTAAAGAAGCATCCTGTTTTGACGGAAAGTAAAAGAAATAGCATACAAATTCTCATCAACATTTTTCATGGTTGAAATCTGCAAGACGTAGGATTCGCTACTAACAATGGTTACGTCCTTTTCCACCGAATCTTTCAAAACCTCTTCGACATTTTCTTCAGTTCCTTAGGTACTGACTACTACCCCAGTAATTGGCTTAAGTGTGAAGACAAGCTGAACAGTTAACAAAATATCGCAGATGCCAGGAATGTGCAACGCGGACCTATTAATTGGCTTTCATACACAAGGGCTCGCATCAGCGTTTCAGCTTTATACTTACTTGTTCTTACCAATGTATGCTGTTGTCCGCGAAAAATATTTATTCTGGCGGATTCATCCGATTATCTGTAGAGTAATCCGGGTAAGGCGATAATAACTTTGAAGTGCTCCTTCGACGTGAGCTAGAAGGTCACGCCATTCTCGTTATGCTGAAGTTGATCAACTACCGAAATAGACAACTAACATTTGTGAAATACAAACGCATTGGCTATCAAGTTCCATAAGGATAAGCCTCCCTGTGAATAGGGATGCTCTGGCTTTGCCACTTCTGCATAGAAAGGAATTAAATTTAAGTTACGGGTTAACATTTAGGTGATGATCATTTGAGTTTTGTGCATCAATAGGTTTTAACAACAGCATTTGTGCTTCCTGTGCTTGCTAAATTACTTCCTCAGGAAATGTTTACTGAAAATCATCGCTGAAGTCCACGATATGAAAAGGATGTTTCATAAAATACATATAGATGTGACAGCAACTACTTCGAACTTTTCTGTGCAGCATGCTCTTGGTTATTCAGGGTCGGCTGTAAACTGGAAAAATATGAAGTTTGGTTCTGTCGAATCCGTGTTTCTACATTAACTCTCTCAAAGAATCACCGAGGAGACCCAAAAATCATTAAGAAATCTGAAACAATTAGGTGGACAGTTCATAACGACTGAATATAAATGAATGTAAATTACCACAGATAGATATGTAGCTGTAAATAAGTCCTAAAACTAAATAGTTCTGTTAGCCTTCAATATTTAATGCTGATCTCATTAGTTTTAATGCACACGCGTAACTGGAGGCGCTCGGTCACGCTACCACACCAACGCACGAGTGGGTACGATCGATCGATTGATCGATTACGCCTGTTACTCCTCGTGAAGGAGCATAGGCCGCTCACCAGCATTCTCCATCCAACCCTGTCCTGGGCAATCCTTTCCAGCTCTTTCCAGTTGTTATTCATCCTTTTCATATCTGCTTTTATTTCCCGACGTAATGTGTTCTGTGGCCTTCCTCGTTTCCGCTTCCCTTCAGGATTCTTAGTTAGGGCTTGCCTCGTGATGCAGTTCGATGATTTGCGTAATGTATGTAGTATCCATTTCCATCGTCTTTTCCTAATTTCTTCTTCAACTGGAAGCTGGTTTGTTCTCTCCCACAAAAGGCTGTTGCTGATGGTATCCGACCAATGAATGTTGAGTATCTTGCGTAGACAACCATTTATAAATGATTGTACCTTCTTGATGGTGGTTGTTGTAGTTCTCCAAGTTTTAGCTCCGTACAGTAGAACTGCCTTGACATTCGTATTGAAGATTCTGACTTTGATATTGGTTGAAAGTTGTTTTGAGTCCCATATGTTCTTCAATTGTAGGAATGCGACCCTTGCTTTGCCGATCCTCGCCTTTACGTCTGCATTGGATCCTCCTTGTTCATCGAAGATGCTTCCCAGGTATGTGAAGGACTCTACATCTTCCAGAGTTTCGCCATCAAGTGTGATTGGATTGCTGTTCTCCGCTTTGAATTTGAGGACCTTAGTTTTCCCTTTGTGTATGCTGAGGTCTACTGATGCAGAGACTGCTATTACACTGGCTATCTTCATCTGCATCTGTTCGTGTGTACGTGATAGAAGGGCTAGGTCATCTGCGAAGTCCAAATCGTCTAATTGATTCTGAGCTGTCCATTGTATCCCGTGTTTTCCTTCAGATGTCGAGGTCCTCATAATCCATTCGACCACCAGAAGAAAGAGGAAGGAAGAGAGTAAACAGCCTTGTCTGACTCCGGTCCTTACTTGGAATGCATCTGTCAGCTGTCTTCCATGCACTACTTTGCACTGTAGTCCGTCGTATGAGTTCCGGATAATATTGAGAATCTTCTCAGGAACTCCGTAGTGTCGAAGAAGTTTCCATAATGTCCTCCTATCTACACTGTCAAATGCCTTTTCATAATCAATGAAGTTGATGTATAGTGATGAGTTCCACTCAACTGATTGTTCGACGATGATCCGTAGTGTTGCAATTTGGTCTGTGCACGACCGATCCTTACGGAATCCAGCTTGTTGATCTCGAAGTTGGGCGTCTACTGCATCCTTCATCCGGTTCAGCAACAATCTGTTGAAGACTTTCCCTGGTATTGACAGTAGTGTTATGCCTCTGTAGTTTTCACATTTGCTCAGATCTCCTTTCTTTGGAATCTTGACGAGGTGTCCTTCTTTCCAGTCCATTGGCACTTGTTCCTCCTCCCAAATCTTTTTGAATAGAGGGTAAAGCATGCTTGTGGTTACTTCGACGTCTGATTTCAGTACTTCAGCTGGTATGTTGTCGGGTCCTGCTGCTTTCCCGCTCTTGATTTGTCTGACGGCCATTCTAATTTCTTCCGTAGTTGGTGGATTGACATCTATAGGAAGATCTATGTGTGCTGCTTTGATGTCCGGTGGATTCATTGGAGCCGGCCTATTCAGGAGTTCCTCGAAGTATTCTACCCATCTGTTTCGCTGTTGTTGAATTTCAGTGATTGGCTTGCCTTCTTTGTCTTTGACCGGCCTCTCTGGTTTACTGTATTTCCCTGATAGTTTCTTCGTTGTATCGTAGAGCTGTTTCATATTTCCTTCTCTAGCAGCTTTTTCTGCCGTCGTTGCTAGTTCTTCCACGTATTTCTTCTTGTCGGCTCTAATGCTCCTCTTCACTTTTTTGTTTGCTTCTATGTATTCAGCTTGTGCTTGGACTTTCTCTGCTCGTGTTCGGCTGTTGTTTATTGCTGCCTTCTTGTTCTTCCTTTCTTTGATCTTGTCCAGTGTTTCTGTAGAGTTCCATTCCTTATGACACGTTGAAGTTAATGCCTCCTTGATGCCTTTCCAGTTGTCCTCCATACTAGTTTCTTCTTCTCTCAGTAGATCTTGTAAGGCTTGGAACCTGTTGTTGAGAGCTATCTTGAATTCATTGAGTTTGTCAGTATCTCGAAGGAAGGCTGTATTGAACCTTTGTAGTGCTGTTTGTCCACTTGTCCAGTTCTTTTTTAGCTTCAGTTTTAAATTGGCTACAACTAGGTGGTGATCTGAAGCTACGTCAGCTCCTCTCCTGGTTCTCACATCTTCCATTGTCCTTCGGAGCTTTTTATTGATGCAAATATGATCTATCTGGTTCTCTGTGGTGTGGTCCGGTGAGATCCATGTAGCTTTGTGTATACGTTTGTGTGGAAATATTGTGCCTCCTATGACCAATTTGTTGAATGCACATAGATTTGCAAATCTTTCTCCACTTTCGTTTCTCTCTCCCAGTCAGTCCATGTCGTCCCATGATATCTTCATATCCAGTGTTGTCTATTCCGACTTTGGCATTTAGATCTCCCATCAGAATAGTTAGGTCCTTCCTTGGGCATTTCTCAATAATTGACTGTAGCCGCTCGTAGAACTGATCTTTAATGTGGTCGTTGCTATCATTGGTGCGTGCATAACATTGCATAATATTCATTGTGATCCCCTCCTTCTTTGTTTTAAATGATGCTTTGATGATTCTGGATCCATGAGATTCCCATCCTACAAGTTCATTTCGTGCTACTTTGGACAGCATAAGAGCGACTCCCTGAGTGTGTGGAGCATTGTCCTCTTCGTGACCGGAGTATAGCAGCCTTTTCTGTCCAGCTTGGGTCCAGTAGGTTTCGCTGATTCCCAGTACTGCTAAGTTGCATCTCCTCATTTCCGTTGCTATTTGGCTGGTCTTCCCGGTTTCCCACATTGTTCGAACGTTCCATGTACCTATAAAAAGTTTTGCTCTGGTTGTTAGAAGGGGCATAGGCCTCGTGGCTTCCGAAGGAGCTCGGCTTTCACCATGAAGCGTCATAATTCTTCTAAATGAAGACCTTCTAACTCCCAGGGCAGAGTTAAAATGGTTTGAATTATTTTTTCTGGTAAGCGTTTTTTTAGCGAGTTAGTTTTCTACGGGATGGAGACGCTAACTCCATGCCCAACCCTTCTTTACCCTAGCTTGGGAGCGGCAGTAACCCTATAAGAGCTACAGGCGGAGTTGAGTGGGTACGACGTGCTACGAATCCCTTAAAACAACTAGCCAGCTTAGATTAAACGTTACCCGATATGTCTGTGGCCTCCCAAACACATATTCAAACCTCTTCACTTATGGCTTTTGATTTGACTGGCTTGATATATTTCGATTGTAAAGGTGTTACGTGTAAAGGCGCTGTCAAACTTCGAATAGCCATGGCATTTTTAAGATCTTGTTGATATCTCGATGAAATGACAGAGTTTCTTATTCGTGATGAAATGCCCAACAATGTTAAGCAGGCTTATTGGATAGACCAAAAGTTAACAAATATAAGATATAAAGCAGCAGTTTTACTGTTTGCTTCATTGACAAAGTTGTCCTACGGAATTAAATAGACATGGATACTACTGTACAGACTTCAGCATAGTGC